GAAACTAGTGAAATGCTACGTTTGGAACATCACTTTGTATGGGGCTGAAACATGGACACTTAGGGCAGTAGATCAGAAACATCTGGAAAGTTTCGAAATGTGGTGTTGGAGAAGGATGGAGAAGATCAGTTGGACCGATTATGTGAGAAATGAAGAAGTGTTAATTAGAGTCAGTGAGCAGAGGAATATCCTACACGAAATAAGAAAACGGAAGGCTAATTGGATTGGTCATGTTTTACGCAGAAACTGCCTTCTAAAAGAAGCTATCGAAGGAAAGATAGATGGGCGGATAGAAGTGACAAGAAGACGAGGAAGAAGACGTAAGAAGATGCTGGATGACCTTGGGGACAGAAGAGGATACTGTCATTTGAAGGAGAAAGCTCTAGATCGCATTAAGTGGAGGAATTGTTTTGAAAGAGACTGTGGACCTGTCGTCTTGACAGATTACTGATGAATGAATGAATCCTTACACCCTACTTTCCCAGAGCCATTTTAAAGTTATCCCCTTCCTTCTACCACCACAGATGCTAAACTCATAAATTTAACCACCTACACAATATTAGCTGTAGGGTACAAACTCTTGTTACATAATTCTCTTCTTCATAGTTTGTAACTACAAAATATCTCAAGGCTTTTATACATAATTTTTGTACATTTACAAAACACTTATTTTCCTTAAACACGCTGTTACAAAAGTGATCTTTCAATATCAACACTTGTGCTCATTTTTCAATGCTCACAAGAGTAATGATTAAGTAATGAATCAAGATGTTCGACTTAGCCAAAGTATGACACCCACTTGGGACAGAAATAACTCTTGGTTATGAAAAGAAAACAATGATTTAAGCCTGAAATCTTTCTTGAGCTAGTGCCATTTTTACCATCTAAAATAAGATTTAAATCTGGACATAATCCAAACAAATTACAATGGTTCCCTCATACTTTCCACTTCAGTTGACAAATTCAAGAGTGGAATTAGTCTTGAAAATACTTCCATTCAGAAGCTGTATTTATTTTATCCGCAATCATGTACATATACCCTCAATAAAACACTTCTTATATTCCAATAATTTCTTCACCCTCAGTCATACAGTTTCTGCTTTGGGCTGGTCTCCAACTTGAATCCTTTCATTTGCCAACCAGAATCACTTGTAACAAGCATAATTAAGTACTGCAATGTAATGCCACAAGTGTCACTACTGGATGCATTATAAAAGCACAGCAGACAAGGACTTAAATTACTTCAGCAAAACTTGGTACTTTTATGTCCTCTACACAGATTGCAAGAGAATGTCTATCAGGGTTGCCTACATGTGCCTGTCCATGTGCTTTACCTTCAAAACTACTGAATGGATTTTGAAAGTAGTCAGTACTAGGGATCTAAAATAAGCTATCATAGACATTTTAATTTGGCTCAATATAACCCCTACTTTACATGAAGCATAAGTAATACTGTTAACAGTCTTCTCAAAAAGTTATTTCTATAGAAAACTGATGCATGATACAGAACACAAGCATCACTAATTCTACACCTGGAAAGTTTTGGAATAAACTGAATACTCAGAATTACTGGGTTTTTGGACCATTGTCAGAATCCTTTAGACTCTATTAATTTTTCTAAATGTTTAACAAAATACAAGAACAAAGCAAAGAAACACCACAGCCAATGAAGTATGCAAACTAGCAAGGAATACATTTGGAAAATATGTGTACTGCATTGGAGTACATATTTTCACCTTTTGCTTTTGGAACATAGAAAAATATCTGTTAAAGAAAGGTGCTGTATGCTAATTTAACCTTCTGTACCACACAATCAAGCAGGATTTTGTATTTCTTTTGGCTTATTTTGGACTTCACCCATCGTCCGGTATATAAAAAAGACAAAAAACCACAACGTTTCAGAGACTGGATCTGTCTCCCGTCTTCTGGTGTATAAGGAAGGTTTAACCTACTCAGTTGGGCGCCT